TAGGCTCTGATGACACCCTATGGAAGGCCTCACCACCCAGGGGGAGCAGAAAGGATATGTGATAGGTAGGGTTTTAGTGGAGGGGGGTAGGGGAGGGCGGGAGGGAGAAGGGAACTGGATTGTCATGTAAAGCAATCTTGTTTCTAATTCAAATAAAAAAAAACTGAAGCAAAAACAAATATGAGCCTATGGGGTCCATTCTTACTCAAACCACCACACAGTGCCATGTAGGAAGAGGCCCTACAGATTTCTGCAGCTAGTTTGACTCCAGAATGTTTACACCTAGCTTTGACCTGCCTTTGTGAATTGCTACCCTGTCTCCTGTTCCTGTTTGAAGTCTTATCTGAGAGATTCCTAGGGTTCAAAGACTATGCAAACTTGGTTGGGAAAAACCCCAGCACACCAGTGGTATTCCTTGCGTTTGACATTGTCCCTTTGAGAGACTCAGATATGATGTTTTGGGATATGGAAATGAACTTGCTAAAGGTTTAATTGGATAACAATAAAAAGCCCTGGGCAAAGGGAGATCATCTTAGTCTGCAAAAGGCTGAGTCCCCTTGTTGTTGGAAAGGCTAAAATCGTCCCTAGAGCACCTCTGCCTTCATTCCATGGACCAGCGTGAACCCACACCCATTCTACAACAGTGTCAGCAACAGCCTGTCTCAGGACTTCTCCTTGCATAAAAAGGCTAATCCTATAACGTTTAAGCACTGTGATTATTGTTTTCAGTTACTTGCAGCCAAAAATACTCTAACTAAAACATATTAGAAGAATGTCTGATAGCCCTAAGATAGAAAATTGGCCTTTAATTCAGACAACTGGGTGACAGGAGGCTGGGTAATGCTCTTATGACTATACATTATTAATAAAGGGAATGCCAGAGGATATTATATGGATTATAGATTAATTTTATTTAAATTTTGTATCATGTTTATTTATTGTGTGTACACATATACCATGACAAGCATGTGGAGGTCAGGGGACAGCTTTCTGGAGTTATTTCTCTCCTTTCACCATGTGGGTCCCAGGGGTTGAATTCAGGTCATTAGACTGATACCCAAAACAACCGAGACATCTCATTGGGCCCTGACCTAGTTTTGTTTTTGTTGCTGAGATTAAAATACTCTTACAAAAAGCAACTTATGCAAGAAAAGGTTTATTCTAGCTCACAATCTCATGTTATATTCTACCACTGTGGGGAAGTCACAGCATCTGGAACTTGAAATTCCTGGTTCTATCCACAGACAACAGCAGAGAGAAATGAATGCTCACTTGCTTGTGGTCAGCTCAATTATCCCCACTCTTACACTGCATAGGACCTGCTGCCAAGGGAATGGTGCTGCCCACAGTGGACTGCCGTCGTTGTTCTATAGGACAACCCCCTATAGACATGCCCACAGGCCAACCCAACATAGACAAGCCCTCATTGAGAGCCTTCTCAGGTGATTCTCCATTAAGTCAATGACAATTAAGATAATTAGCACACTCCAATTAAAGTACTGAAGCTGAAATCGAACACCACATAGGCATGTGGGTTGAGATGCATCCACCATACAGCAGTAAAAATTCTCTTTTGGGCAGTTCACCCTAATGGAAGAACATGTTTCCTCTGTCTGCAACGAATGGGAAGGAAGCAAGCCCAGAATGGTGGGCATGTGAGGTCAGAGGTCAGAAAGAATAAATGTTAATGACGGACTCACTCGCTCTTCTACCTGGTTCTACCTTTGTCTCTTCCCATGACCTCATCTTAGCAGAGAATGTACGCTCCGTTCCAACATTCCTCAGTAGGCTGAGTGAGTTATCGTGTCTTCTCCAGTGGACACACAGACCCCAATTCCATTCCAGGAATATACAGTTTTATTATTTTTGGAAAGCCTGTCTAAAGAGCAGAAAGATTCTGTGCGATACTTCCTGGGCTGTGGCTGCTGAGCAGTCCTTCTACGTGAGAGCTAAGAACAAGGTATCTATTTTCTTTCTGGGGGTTGGAGAGAGAAGTTCATATAAAGCACTCTTCAGTGAAAATGTCCACACTGGTGTTTCTTTGTCCTGCCCACAAGGCCTGATTACCGATCCCCCTGTAGGTCTGTGGGTGGCTGTGCTGAGAAGCCAGGAATATTCAGTCACAGCTGCCCTCCAGCATGCAAGCCTCAGGAACCCCTCAGGCCCAGGTTCCCTCTGTGCTACCTAATTGCCACTTGTCCTGGCTGCTAGCCTCTATTCGGGGCAATTTATCAGTGTGTGGTTAATCGGCCCCTTCAAAGAGAAAGGAAATGCTGATTTGAAATATTTTGGACAAAGGACATATTTGAGAGCTTGTTTCAGAAGTCTCTGTGATGATGGCGGGTCACAGTCACAGAGCAGAGAGGCCAGTGCTGCCAGAGACCAAGTGATTCAGGAAGACGGGACACTCCTCCTTAATAATAGGTTATTCTCTTCGTCTGGGAGGAACTGGAAGTAGCACAGTCAAGGTCTCTTCAATTCTCCAAGGCAGGAAGAACCGAACTCTCCTCTGTCCTACTTTTTGTTTGTAGTTTTCCTTTTGATCCTTTTCCACGGGTGTTTTCCCCTCTATCTGTCCTCACTACCTTGTCTCCTCTACAGAATGAAAGACACTGGACCAGGAAGCTATGAATGGTTCTTTCAGACTATCCCAGGCTCCAGAAACTTCTGGCCATAGACAGAAGCAGAGGTATGTGCTGAGATACAACTGGATGCTTCCCCACAGCCTGAGGCTTGAAGGTATCAGGAAGTTATGGGGGTGAGTGCTGGGTAAGATAAGGGGGATCCTGGCATCTCCTCTCCCCACCAGGCAGCTCTGTGGGTTGGAAACCACATGAATCCCTGCTCCATTTCAGATAGAGGTCCTGACCACTCACTCTCAGGCAGCATCACACCACACCTGTCCCACTCCCCACTGTAGAAGAGGGTGTTGCTGTCTTCCATCCATCATCATCCCAGAGTCTCAGCCTCCCTCCTGTCTGACCAAGGTCTGCCAATTAAAAAAAAAATTATTTAAAATTCCCCACCTCTTACTCAACTCTTCATCAGCTGTACCCTGAAATGAATCCGACTCACTTGAAGAATATCTGAAATGCAAATCTGATCACTTGACTTTTTGGGTTTAAATCCTTCTATGGTCACAAAATAAAATCCAGAAATCCCAGCATGCCCTACAAAACCAGCCAAAAGCTGACTTGTAGCAGTCATGTCAGAGAAGACTTGGTGAGGTGCCTGCAGCTTCCCTCTGTAGCACATATTAAAGTGCCAGTGCTGGAGCTATGACTGCTTCTTCCTGCTGCTGGAATGACAACATGACACCCCTGGGGGCATGCCTTAGAACACCCTACTGAGCCAAGGACACCAGGAAAGTGGCCCAGCTTCAGATCTACACTGGACCCTGGAAAATGGTCAAGAGGTCAGAGGTATATGGGAAGGGAAGAAACGGAGTTGGGCAATTTTGTCACTAACTAGTGACAGACTTGGGGCTAGCAATGTCACCGGACTCAAGTGTAACCAGAGCCTAAAAACAGTCATATTTCCATGTGGCCGCCCCTTAAGAATCCCTACTCTTCAGAAGAGCATCTTTCAAGTCATGTAAGGGCTCTGCGGGTGCCCAGGTACAACCTCCTCAGGATCAAAAGACCTGGTCATAGTGCCAGAGGAAAAGGTGTCACATGGCCTACTCAAGACACATTCCTGCTCTCCATAGTCACCCTGACCTCTGACCCCACAGAGCATCCAGCTATTCATGGTGCAGCAGTGAGCATCTGAAGCACACGCTCCTGGAGAAGCTGGCCACACTGGGCCCCTACTTCACTAGGGATCATACTTCTGAGACAGCCATGCTTCGGCCAGCCCTGCTCCTCACACCTTCATCTTGTACCTTTTGTACCACATGCTGCTGCTGCAGACCTCGGGAGTCTGTGGAGATGGCAGCTTCTCAGATGCAGAGAAGCAGGAGTCTGGTGGCCAGGATGCTTTATCAAGCAGAGTTCTGCTGGCACTGTGCTTATCCCTACTGGAGTATCCCACCTTCCAGAGTCACAGTCCCCAAGTCCAGCAGAGTGGGATGGGGCGGAGGAGAGTCCCATCCTAGTCAGTGTCCTAGTAACTCAGTTACCCTTTTCATTGCTGTGACCAAACACCCAACAAGAAACAGTGTAAGGGAGGAAGAGGTCATAACTTAAAAAGGGGTGTGGATCATCTTGGCTGGGAAGGAAAAATCTGGCCACACCAAGAGTGGACAGGAAGTGAGGCCAACCTATAAAATCTCAAGGCTGGCTCCTAGAGACACATTTCCTTCACCAAGGTCTCACATCCTGAAGATTCCACAGTATTCCCAAACAGCATGAAACCAGGGATGACACATTTCATATCTTAACTATACCTGACCTCAACACTTCTGCTTCTTGCCCTGTGTTTCTGGACTCTGATAAGGAAGTTTTTCAGCCTCAGGAAATAATAAGGGGTCTAATGGATGCCCAAAATACCACCAGGCCAGTCGGGCTACTCGAGCTTCCAAGGGAACAGCATTTGTTGGAGATGAACTTCCTTTCCGCCATAGACCACTCAGTTTTCAAGAAGTCTGCTGTTTGAGAGAGGGCACCTCCTCCAACACAGCGCCACAGAGAGCAGCTAAGGGAGAGAGGGCATCCAACCACTCTCCTTACACTGCCGGGAGGGCACATGCCTTTGTTGTAATGCCAGGAGGGCACATACCTTTGTGAGTTGCTGCTCTGAAGAGAACCCCAAGCCGAACACTGTGTTGGCTCTGCTGTCAGCCCACTGGCCGAACTTCTGTGAGGTTTTGGTGAAAGTCATGTTCGGGGTGATGGTGCTGTTTATAATCACCTGCGGGAGACAACCCAAGGGAGACAGCATTAACTCTACAGTGGACCGTTTCTCCAGACACAGCCGGTGGAGACAGGGCACTTCCTCTGTCCTGTTGGGTTTGCTCCTGGGCTGTTCTGACCAGGGCAGACACACAACCACGACAAAAGGTAATTTCAGACACTTGACAACAGAAGAGTCTAAGATGGAATCTTTCACATTACTGATAGGAAAACCTCTCTCCTAAGAATGGTTTCCAAAACTGATATTTTATTGCCCCGAAGATACCAAGTACCAAAGTTTCTTTAAAGACTAGCCATGTGTACATTCCCAGGGGAACTGCCCTCTCCCCACCATACCCACCTCCCATTTGAAATCTAGCCAAACCAGTTAATACTTCCACCAGCAGTGGGGCCTTTGCTTCCGAGGGGAAGGAGGAGATTCTGACCTGGGGAGTAGGTAGAGGGCTAATTAATAAATAGACTAGTCATACTGGTGAGAGCAGGGAGACCGGAGGGGTTGGCACAGGAGCCTGATGCTGGGCCGTTACCTCCCTTGACCTCAAATGAGAAAAGAAGCAGAGAGACCACAAACCCTGGGAGAGAGAGAGGGTCATGTGGAGCATATGTTTCTACTTTGTATTTCTGGTTAACAGAATCGCCGCCGTGAAGTGTATGTCCAATGTGAGTGAATGAATGAATGAATGAATGAATGAAATGAATGAATGAATGCAGCACGTATCAGATGGCTCCTGGGTCAGTCATATCCATATCCTTAGGGGTTCCTTGAATGCCAGTAGATAAAAGTTAACTGGAGTGTAACACACAGCTCCAAGTCTTGACCCTAACAGGCTTTCCCAGAGTTGGTCACACTGAGATAGGTCTTTAAAACAAAACAATTTCTAAGCAATTTTTCATAAGATATCTTATTTAAACTTATCTTTAAAGAAGGAGACACTGAGGTTCAACAAAGTCAAGTGGCTTGTCCAAGGTCATGATAGCAAGTGTAGATGACTGGGAATGTACTGCTCTCAAAGTAGTGGTTAATGGACTTTTTTTTTAAAGATTTACTTTTTATTTTTCATTATGTATACTGTTGGGGGAAAGGGTGTGCCTGTGAGTGTAGGTGCCCGCGGTGTTGGGTGCCCTGAAGCTGGAGAACAGTGGTTATGAGCCACACACATTATGGCTGCTGGGCATTGGAAGCAGGCCTGGAGGAAGGGAAGATGTTCCTAACACTAAACCGTTTCTCCAGGCCCCAATCTGGGCATTTTTAATTGATCTGTTTTCTACTTCACTGATGTGGCTGGTTAATACAGTCTATCTGCTGTTACATTATCCACTCAGTGCCTTGTGTGTGGGGAGTGGGGGAGTGAACAAAGAAGGAAGGAGTTTTAATTAGTTACCTGGTTTTGCTCTGTAGCTTCTCCTTTTTCAGTCTCCCCAGTTCTGAGACTCACCACCATTCCTGCCTCTGTTATTTTTAAAATCTAGCATATCTCATATTTTAAAAATGCACTCCAAGACTAGACATGGTGGCATACACCTTTAATTCCAGTACCTGGGAGCAGAGGCAGGAAGATCTCTGTGAGTTTGTGGCTAGTCTGATCTACAAAGTGAGTTCCAGGCCAGTTAGAATCTACTAAATGAGACCCTGTCTCAATCAAAATCAGTCAATCAATATTCGAAATCCCTGAGGTATTCTTCCCTTTGCTTGTTTTGTCCATTTCCCCTTTACTTTCTCAATACATTGATGTGTTTATTTTAAAGTCCTTGATGCAAACGCCAACACCTGGGCCATCTCTGAATCTATCATTATCTGGATCTCCCCTCCCGACTCCAGGCATATGGTCCCACCTTTTTGCAGGTCTAGTCATTTTTTTTTTTCTTAAATCTCATGCTGAAATTGCAAAGACTGCATAGAATGTGACCATCTGCCCAAGGAAGCTCCCTTTCTCTGCTAGGTGAACTAGGCAGACAGGAAATCCCCTCATCTTAGGGCTGTACTGGGTCAGGTTGGATTTCAGCTCCCAGAGACTCAGTCTACCTTTGGTTCACTCCTGAACTCAGGGCAGGCTCTTTATTTTATTTTATTTTTTTTTGCCTACATGTATGTTTGTGCATCATGGGCATGCCTGGTTCTTGTCAGAGAGTTTGCTGGACCCCCGGAACTGGGATTACAGATGGTTTTGAGCTACCATGTGCATGCTAAGAATTGAACCTGGGTCCTCTGGGAGAGCATCCAGTGCCTTTAACCACTGAGCCATCTCTCCAGCCTTAGGGCAGGCTCTTGAAGGAGTTCAACAGAGAGATGGGCAGATCTTGATCTCCTCTGCCCTCAAGGACTGTGGAGAATCAGTACCATCTGTGAGAAGTTTTCAGCTTGCTTTTGTAGACTATTAAATCCTCATCTTCCCAACTTGGCTGTCCTCTTATACTGGCTTCAGACTTGCTATGTAGCTAGGCATGACCTTCAACTCCTGATGACTCTGCCTCTCTCTGTCTACCAAGTGCTGGGATTATACACCTGTGCCACCCTCCCACTAGCTAATTGTGAAGGGGAAATTGGCCGTGTTGGTTGTTTGGGGTTATTCAAGTCTCCCCCTCTGTCACTTAAGCAATGTGAGCGTCAAGATCTCCACTGGTTTCTCTACCAGGAGCAGCCTTTCTGCAGGACTCAGTTCTGTGTACAGCCTTGAGCTGTCCCTAGTCAGTGGGTGTCCAGGTGACAGGGTGTGTAGGAGCCCAGTGTCCCAGTGTCCATACTCTCTGTGGGGCTTTCATGATTTTGTGTATTGTAAACTCTTGGTGGGGACTTTGGTTTCTATACACTGTAAATTAAGAAAATGTCTTGGGGGGTGGTGGTTGGCCATTCTGAAGTTCCTTACTCTTCAACTTCATCTCTTTGGCCACTGCTAAGAGCTGATACCCCTCCCCCAGCAGTATCTCTGTCAGAGCCAAGCTCCAGCCTTCAGCCTGTATCCAGAATTGGCAAAGGCTTGCAGGAGAGAGGCTGCCCATCTTGGCTGAGTGGCCCCATCTCTCTAAACTTTTGGTCTCTCTAGCCTTCACCATTCTATAGCTTTTTGATGCCCTTAAATCATATTTATGGAAACAGGGATATAGCTCAGTGCCTGTTTCACAAGTGCAATTCCCTAATATCGACCCCCAAAAGTCAAATGTTTCCTATTTGTTATCAAAGAGAACATCGGCCCATAAGAAGCTATATACCTCACTTAGAAGCAAAGCGTTGAATCAGGACAAACCTAGACACAATGTTTCACTATGAATGTGCTTGGACTTTATTCTACAATGTTTGTGGGAAGCATGCAATTTCTCATAAGGTTGCTGCTCATGTCCATTAAGCAAAACTGGGCTCAGGCATGCCAGTTTAGCTTGTTGGTGTGGGTGTAAGTTCAGCTACTCCCCAAGTCCAGTAAGTAACATCCCCGTATTCATTCAAAGCAGGAATACCAGGCCACTGCTCACCTCTTTCCACCTCCATTTACAAATGTGATGGAAAGCAGAGAGCAAGGAGCTGGCAGACCACAGTGCATAACCCACAGACTCATCCTGTCTCCTTCCCTTCTGTCTCCCAAGCAAAGGGCCCATCCTCTCAGTCAGAACCAAGCTTGCCCCTGTGTCCTTGGGTCCTGTGTCTTTGACTCTAATTCCAGAATGTTCCTCCTATACATACAATCATGCTGTGTATGACCCTCCATAGGTAACAACAGGTTTGTTTGTCCTTGGGACACAAGATGCTGACCTTGCAGAACTCATGAGGGTTTTGCTGAGGGAGCTGAGCATCTTCCACATTCCTCATTAAAAGGTCTGTAGTTACCAGTCCCTTTCATCAGCATGAAGGGCCCTTACCTGCAAGTTGGAGGTGAGCCAGGAGAGAGAAAAGTGAAAGCCACACTTTCTACACTGCCCTTGTAATTGCTCACACTGGCTCTCTGCAGGCTCCACAATGCCTTACTTAGCAGGTTCTAAACAGTTTACCTTAGCCTGAGCAATGTCACAGAGAGAGTAGTAAGCCCAGATGTATGTAAGTGACAGCTGGATGGCTAACCTCCCAGAAAACCTACAGCATCGACCTCCATAAGAGCAGCAAGAATGACACCCGCAGTGAACATACTGCCAAAATATCCAGTCTCAGAATCTTCTTCCTTCTCTTGCCACTGACATGGAAACAGCCTCTGACCACACCTGCCTTGTCACTGAGACTGAGTCCTTCAGACAGGCTGGGCAGCATCTGGTAAGGCCTGCTCCTTCTGTGTTTGCCCCTCCCAGGCTCTGTCTGTCCCTTCCAGCTAAGCGTGTTTACACCCAGAAGGCTTGTGTTTATCCAGGAAACTAACTCAGCTTTGGCTCTCACCCTTCTCAGGTATGGAGGAAGGAAGGAAAGAACATGAACACATACAAAAAGACCCTTTGAAAAACAGTGATTCTGTTTTTTTGGAAATGTGCCTTGCCGCAGCCCAGGCTGGTCTTCAACTCTCTGTAGCCCATGCTGGCCTTGAACTAGAAAACCTCCTGACTTAGGCTCCCAAATGTTGGATTGTAGGCATGTACCTCCAAACCCAGCTGAAAAGACCTCTCTGTCTTCATGTACACCAGAGGAAGGAATCTGATCCCACCATGTGGTTGCTGGGAATTGAACTCAGAACCTCAGGAAAAGCAGTCAAGTGCTCTAAACTGACCAGACCCCTGAAAAAGCCCTCTTAATCTGCCGTGGGTCTGCAATGGTGAGTGCACTGTGCAGCTGGATGGGGGAGGGAGCTAGGGGAGCAGCCTGGGCTTCAGAACAAAAAGATGGGAGCTTAAGGGGCTGAGGGCAGCTTAGTTCTGGGGAAGTGAATTATCTGTTCCTGGGAGAATGGAGAGAATGAGCTAGGACAGGTTGATGGGCAAACCTATCGGCTCAGTTTTCCTAGCAATGTGGAAATATATGATTGACACATTCAAAGTCAGTCAGATGCCATCAAGGGTTTGGGCAGGAGTACGGAGCCACAAAGCTGC